AAAGCACATGAACTAATGCATTAGGGAGGATTCACCTCTCCCTTTCTCTGAGACTCTTTCAAAGGAAAGCCCCCCACACAGGAATGAACCATTTCTTGTTCTCAGACTTGTCACAGGTAATTTCAGTGTTCCTTCCCAAACAGGACTGGATATCTCAGATGGCCTTGTGCCGTAGGAAATTACAAATTTAAATGGAAATGAATCCATGCCAGTCATGCTTTTATTTTAAGAAAACAACGTTCCATTTTTAGGGATTAACAAACGCTCCTTGAGAATATTTCGGCCAAGAATCCCAGAATCGCCCGAGATCGTGGAGCCCAACCTTTGACCCGCCTCCACCTGACTAAATACGTGTTGTGTCAGACAGCAAAGTGCTCAGCACCAGATAACACGGGTGGTGAGAGCCTTTAACGCCCAGACAACATGGTTACCTTGTTTTTCTTTGGGCTGGCTGCCTGACTGGAGTGAGCTCATGTCTGATTGCCCAACACTGCACAAGGGGTGCCCTTTCTCTGGGTGTCTGATGTTCCATGGGAGTTGTAAGGATGGAGGGAGTTCACTGCACTCGTTACTCAAGGCTCAGTCTCCAGGGGAAGCTCTAATTATTCATTTACGTTGGTGATGTTGGCACATCTTTTGGGAGACTCTGGTTTATGGCCTGATAACATAAAGCTGAGTGGCACTAAACAAGGTGGGGGGGGTGGGATCAGACTGGAAAAACAAGCTGTTCTTAGCTGATGGGAGGAACAGCAAGAGGGTGACTGCCAGCAACAGGGAGCAAAGCTGGGGACCTGCTGACTGTGGAGGAAAGGGGTGTGCAGTGGGAGGGAAACTGTCCCCTCTGACCACCCAGGAGCCATTCCAGCAGTCACACCGACAATCCCACAATCACTGAGGCTGGAAAACACCCCCAAGATCAACAAGCCCAACCACCATCACCACTTTGTCAACCAGATCAGAGCACTGAGGGCCACGTCCACTTGCACCACCTGAGGCAGGATTGAATCCCCTTCACAGGGGTTGGGCCAGAGACCCCACGGGGGCCCTGTTTGACTCCTCACACACCCCACACTCACACAGTCACACAAGGTCTCATCACTGGCTCGACTCCAGGTTTCCCAAGCAGAGCCTCAGACCTCTGGATCCTTAATATATTAAATAAATATTAAATCTTTATTAATTAGATCTTAATCAGCTATTAAATATGAATTAATTATACACCAAATATCTATTAAATATGTATTAATTGAAAAAATGTGTTAATTGTATATCAAATATCTATTAAACATGTATTAATTATGTATTTAATATATATTAATATACATACAGCCCCTGCTGTCTCCCAGTGGCAGGTCACCTGAATAGGCTACAGGTCCTGTACCTTTGCATGCTCTGGAGAAACTTTATTGCAAATAAAAAATATCAGAGAGTCGTAGTAATTTAGGCAGAGCCTGTTAAAACAAGGGAAAGAGCACACCCAGCTTCCCTTTCACTGCAGACATGTCCTGACTTCTCCAACAGACGGGGTGAATCCAGGAAAAATGAATGGGACTAATCCTAAATAAACCAATGGCTGCAACAGAAAGGGATGAAAAAAAGTGCTGTTGGATATGTCATCCTGAGAAAAACAAAGGAAAAGATAATCTGTGCTTGCTGTTCACACCGAGGGAGTTACGCACTCCCTAAAGGAGGTACAGCAGAAGCAGTGCAGGATGAGGTTTTGGAGGGTGAGAGGGCAGCATCACACGCTCTTCTGGAAGACCAAAAAGTACCTAAGACACCTCTAACACAGCTGTATTACAAAAATAATATGGCCCAAACACACCAGTGTACAGATAGTTTTAGATATGTATAAATAGGAACACAAATATTAATGAAGAGGACTTAGTGCTCCAAATAACTCATCCCAACACATTGCTGCACTTTTGTCATCAAGTCATTCTTCTGTTCATTGCTCTTCCCCAGAAATAAGAATTTCCCTACGCTGAACACCACTGAACTGGAGATGGATGCACACAAATCAGGAATCTCTAAGGGGTAAAAAATGTATGAGAGCCCGAGGTGAAACATGGAGAGACCAGACTTCCCACTCCCACAGCTGCTGGGAAAAAACATCCAGACAAAGAGAGAGTGAGACATGACTTCGATGCTGGAAAAGTTTATTGTACAGAGAGGGGCAGGAGACACTGTGAGAGAGATGGTGGGCGAGACCCAGCCAGGCTGGTTGTCACGTGCTGGAGGAGTCCAAGGGATGTTGCCCAGAGCAGCGCTGCTGGAGTGGGGACAGCAGTGGCAGTGGGGTGTGGGCAGGGTCTAGCAGGGCCCGCAGGTGTCCCAGATCCTCCTGGAGGAGCGGGGCAGGACACAAGGGCTGCAGGCGGGAGCTCTGCCAAAGGTGCAGAGGCCCCCCGAGCCCTGGGTGGCCCCGGCGCCGTAGAGGCCCCCCAGCCCCAGGGAGCCCCCAAAGGCGGGAGCTCCGGCGGAGCCCACCACGGCTTGCTGGGGGAAGGAGCTGAGGATGGGGCCGGGGAAGGTGACCACCACGGGGGGCGGCTGGATGAAGGCCGTGGAGTCGGGGCACTGGCGGGCGCACAGCTCGTTGCAGCTCTCAGCGATGGGCTGGGGCACAGCCACGCTGGTCTTGGGCGGGCACAGGTCGTAG